AAAGAGCAGCAACTGAAGAAGTGATCAGAATACTTTTGAGTGCGCTTAGCGATGAGATGAGTGATGTCAGAAAAGGTGCATGTGTAGCTCTGGGAATTCTTGGCGAAAAAGGAGCAACTAAAGAGGTGATCAAAGGACTTTTAACTGCACTTAGCGATGTGGAAAGCTCTGTCAAAGTAACTGCATGTAACGCTCTGATACGATTTGGTGAAAAAGCTGCAACTGAAGAGGTGATCCAGCGGCTTCTAGCTGCACTTAGCGACCAGGCATGTTATGTTAGAGAAAGAGTATGCAAAGTTCTGAAAAACCTTGGCGAAAAAGCTGCGACCGAAGAGGTGGTCAAAGCACTTTACACTGCACTTGGAGATAAGAACTGGTCTGTCAGGCAAGCTGCATGTGAAGTCTTGGCACGATTCAGCGAACAAGCAGCAACTGAGGAGGTGATCAGAGGACTTTTAGCTGCATTGAGCGATGTGAAAACGTCTGTCAGAGAAGGTGCATGTAAAGCTTTGGGACGCTTTGGTGTAAGAACAGTAACTGAAGATGTGATCAGAACATTTTTGAGTGCGCTTAGCGATGAGATATGTGATGTCAGAAAAGGTGCATGTATAGCTCTGGGAAACCTCGGCGAAAAAGCAGCAACTCAAGACGTTATCAAGGGACTTTTCACTGCACTTAGCGACGTGAAGAGGTCGGTCAGAGAAGCTGCATGTAAAGCTCTGGCACGATTCGGCGAACAAGCAGCAACTGAGGAGGTGATCAGAGGGCTTTTAGTTGCATTGAGCGATGTGGAAACGTCTGTTAGAGAAGGTGCATGTAAAGCTTTGGGACGATTTGGTAAAAAGGGAGCAACTGTAGCGGTGATCGAAGCGCTTTTCACTGCACTTAGCGATAAGGAAAAGTTTGTCAGATTAAGTGCATGTATAGCTCTGGGGAACTTTGGGGAAAAAGCAGCAACTGAGGAGGTTATAAAACGACTTTTAAGTGCACTTAGCGACGAGAGCTATTTTGTCAAAGAAGGTGCGCATAAAGTTCTCGCACACATTGGTGAAAAAAGAGCAGCAACTGAAGAAGTGATCAGAATACTTTTGAGTGCGCTTAGCGATGAGATGAGTGATGTCAGAAAAGGTGCATGTGTAGCTCTGGGAAACTTTGGCAAAAAAGTTGCAACTGAAGAGGTGATCAAAGGACTTTTAACTGCACTCAACGATAAGGAAAAGTTTGTCAGATTAGGTGCATGCAAAACTTTGGGACACCTAGGTGGAAAAGCATTAACTGATAAGGTGATCGAAGCAGGTTTAAGCGCACTTAACAACGAGAACAGTTATGTCCAAGCAACTGCATGTCGAATTCTGGCAGGATTTGGTAAAAAAGCAGAAAGTGAGGTGGTGGTCAAAGTAGTTTTAAGCGCACTTAAGGACAGGCACGGTAAGGTCAAAGTAGCTGCATGTCACGCTCTGGAGCGATTAGTTGAATCAACAGCAACTAAAGAAATGATCAATGCGCTTTTCACTGCACTCCGAGACAAGAACCTGTCTGTCAGAGTAGCAGCATGTGAAGCTCTGGGGAATCTTGGCGAAAAAGCAGCAACTGAAGAGGTGATCAAAGGGCTTTTAACTGCACTTGGGGATGTGGAGGCGGTCAGAGAGGGTGCACGGAAAGCTATAGCGTGCCTTGGTGAAAAATTAGTAGACTTCAACGGCATCAATGGTGTGGTGAATTTAATGCTCAATTCTCCTTCAGGTGGGTATGATTTTCTCATGGATCACCGGAAAAGCGCTCTTTGTGGGTGTGAGAGTTTGCTCACGTTAAGATCCGATGTTGTTCGCAAACTTTCTATTGCTTTGGACAGCGACTATTTCTGGGAGCTGTCGAATATCGCTACACATGAACTCGTTGATATCTTGCTGAAAACAAGCGATGTTGCCTGGTTGCCCATAGTTACTCACATCGCGCTTCTTCAGAAAAGTGCCATTGTAATTGTGGATAACATGATATGTGTTTATGGCAGTGAAGAGGCGAAGAAATTTGAATGCGGTGGTAACCTTCAAACTGCGTTGGTTGAAGCCTTTTCTATGCAAAGGAATAAACTCACTTGTGCTGTGAGATATTTCAGAAACGACCAATATATGATTCGCTTTAGAGATAGAAATGATTTTGTTTAGTTTTTATGTATTCACTGCTTCTCCTATAAAGCGATTTTTTCCTTACCGTTCGCAAAGGCTAACATCGACGATTATGCACAGGATTGTTGTCTTTGTATGGTTGGAGATATTCCTTTGTGAGTTAACTATAATTATCTGATATGAATATTCTCGTATTTAATGTGGACAAAATTCATTCTTATACGCTTCATTAACTAAATCATTTTCGATGACGAGAACGTGACCAATATAATATTCACTGCAAGAAGCTTCGAGAGTAGGACAGTATTCGCTTCCGTCTCTTTAATATCTTGAGGGTGTCGGTGTGGATCTATCATATAGCATGTGCACATGCACATCCACACCCTACTCTTCATGATCTCTACAGAGTAAATTCTTACATTTTTTTATTAATAGGCTACATATATCATTTCTAGGTCACCCAAATCCTGTGACAGAAATAAGTAGACGAATATTTGCTTTTCTTACATGCAAAGATCGATTGTTCAGCGAAACTGTTAGTTTCGATGGGGTTCATCGAGTAAAACGTCAAAGTTTACTACCAAAACTAGAAACTTAGTCCCCTTTGTAATTCTAGTATGAATTTACCTGATGACTTGCGCTGATTTTGTAGGTGATTAAGATAGAAGCAGAATTTAGACATTTCATTCAAAACATTACAGCCACTTTTGAGAAACATCTATTTTTATTATTATGATATATCATTCTTTAAAAAATTTCTTCAAGACATCACGTGTTGCTGTGAAAAGATATTATAATCATTATTGTACTAATGCCGAGAGTTTTGGACACTATAAATATCATTGATATATGAGTATGTATCTTAAATTTGAATTTAATTATTTGCAAAATATACTCGCTCAGAAACTTGAGTCCATTGCTCTTAATATATGGATACAAGGATTTTCAAATAATTGTAACAAGATACACTGTTCGCTCATCTAATCAACAGTAATTACACCCAGGAAAATTCTCAACAATGTGTATTTATGACGTTTGCATCAACCAATGGGAAAATTAATTTTACTTTCTTGACTCCTCACTTTATAGAGAATTATGTTGCCACTTGCTATTATAGTTATACGCGCAGTGACTCTATCCAACTTAATCCAGAAGCATAAGACGTAGATAAGATAAGGAGACGGTTTCGGAGTCTTTTTTAGACTATTGAAGTTTTCTGATGTTGCCAATATAATTGTGACTCTCTTATGTAGATTGTATAAGTGAGTATGATGGTCGTTTGAGATGTACAAAATACGTCTATTTCATTTTTGCTGATCGACATTAAAGTCATATTCTTCTCTGTGTGTGATTTTAACCGGCGCTTGAGACTATGAGTATTTAAGTAGATTCTATAGGAATTCAGAAGCAAAATGGTTCTGTTAATTTCACTTTTCAGCCACGTAAAAGGTTAGCATTTTAATATGATCTAATATAATCTGTTTAAACTAGAGTACGTTGTCAATTCATACATTCATGTGAAACAATTGATAAGTTGATATTTAATCAAGTGAGAGCGAAAAATCAAATATAGAGAGAAAAGTTTATTTTTATCACACATTAGTTGATGTCAAACTTTGGCACAAGACTTGTTTTCTTCATATCACATAAAAAGATAGACTTTTCAATTCGGCTTTCAGCAACAGTTTTTCTTTTTGATTCAGCGTACGACACTATGATCTCATTGTGCTCCTTTTTTACCCTTGCTACACCTCCCTTTTTCTTGTTCCTGATTCACATTCCATCGCAAAACACATAACTTTTTCTACGGATAAATGTGGTAGATTTCGATATTAGTCTACCTATGATTGACAAAAGAGAGAAATTTTCTTTGACGAATGAGTTTGCATTGCATATATTTCTCAACGATATCATTGAATCCTATCTAACACAAATATTTTCTTAGTTGATGCAACTCTTGGAACAACTATTTGTTCATAGCATCACTCAAAATATCCAGTCCTACTAATCTTTGGCAGACTATTGATCAATTCTGTTGCTGAATAAAGCAAAAATTTAATACAAGACACTGGATCTCATTGAATTCTATTCAATATAAACATTTTTACAGTAGACACAACTCTTGAAAAGAATATTCGACAGAAATACGCGTTTTCTTTTAATCAACTTAGTGTATAAAAGTAGGTTTTTCGATTGTTAAGTCATTTTCTTGCACAAAGATTGTTTGAAAGATATTCATGTGGTGCCATATCCGGTATTCTATTTGGCATACGTTTCTAAGATAATATTTCACGAAGACACAAATCTGTTTTCAATTTTTCGTGAGTCCTTTGTTAAAATATAACAGATATTTTATTTATTCATTTATCTTTCATGAAGTTACACTAAACGACATACATAAAACAACGAGCAGGACATGCACATGTAACGATCTCGTACTATCAATACAAATCGTGACAATGCAGTCGCATTGAATTCAAATATTGCTTTTGAGTCGATATGAGATGATTCGCCGTACAAACGAAATTAATAAACAGAAACCGATTGAATTTCAATTGTTACAAAGCACAATATTTTCATAAATTTTCTAATTTAATTCATTATCGTTGACACCTTTTGCTCTACATTATGAAAATTGAGTGCTAATGAATAAAAATGCGAATATAAAAAATACTTTCTTGTCTTAAATATTAAAACTAACCTTATTCAGATGATACATCTAATAAAGCAATTTTATCTTTGATTTCTTGTATTTGTTGATCTAAATCCATGATTTTATTTTTATGCATATCACGTTTTTCAATAAATTGTTTTTCTTTTTTTTTATATATGTTTATTTGTTCAACCTTTTGTTGGTTGAAATCATTATGTATTATCATCGTCGATATTTGTTGCTCATTAACATTTGTTGATATTGGATCAATATGTGCTGAATCTGTTGAATTTACGTGTTCCGCTGTTAACATACGACATATTGAACTTTTAAGGGTCTGATATAAATGAGCAAATTCATGATCAAGTATCATATCATCTGGTGTTAATAATTTTAGTTGTGGTTGTTGCTTGACTTGTATATAATATTTGGATTTTGCTAGTATTTCAATTTTGTCTTCAAATTGATCAATGCCAATATCTTTCATTATTATTATTTTAATAGATTCACTAGAGAGAAAAAGAAGAACTCAAAGAGAGTTTTGGAAACTAAAATTGGTAACTTTGAATATAATGGTATTTGATTATTATTAAAAACTAAAGATAAACCTAATGCAAATGAACATAGTGATTGAATAAGAGCTTAACGATCATCTTCGATTGATTGAGCGCATATCTGTGAAACCAGCTGAAGAGGAAAATGATTTAGAAAAAAAATCTTTTGATAAACATTTGGTATTTGACATACATATGAAATGCTATTTGGAATGGAAACTAATTCTTGTACTGCTAATGAACAATTTGGTAACCATGTACAGATCAAAATAATTACAGCAACACGAATGTGAAATGAAGATGATGACTATTGAGAACAAAAAGAAAAAAATATAGAAAATATAGAAAAACAAAGGTTTTGTTTAAATTACTTTATGTAATATATCAATTGATATTTCCATTAATGTTTTAGCATTTGTTTGTGTTCGATCAAGTGCTAATTTAGCTTTAAGTATATCTTGCTTAGATTGGGGACTATTAACTATTAAATGTGAAAGTAGAATGCCGGAACACCATGACGCCACAGCATCTTCACTTAAATAACCAGATCTTAAGAGATGACCCATAGAGTGTTGATTAGCAGCTAAATAAAATTAAAATGATTTTTTTATCTTTTTAAACTAAAAACTCACTATTCTTAGTTTGAGCTAAAAGTGCTTGAACAATCATTGATTTTCCAGATTCATTTTTGTGTAAATAACATTGTAAACAATAAAGGACTGATATTCGAAGCGAAAATGATTTTTCTTCACCACAAATCATGACATATAGAAGATTGAATAGCACTGGTCTAGAAATAACTTAATTCACATAAGAAAATGAATATATTCGAAATTGTACATACTGCTGAATTTTAGTATTTGTATTCGTTACCAAATCAAGGCATCGCTGATTTTTTGCATCACCACGCATAACATCACCGATCGTGCGAATAGTCTATAATTATCGGCATACATATTAGCTGAAATCAAGCAGCTAAACTCACTTCAGCTAAGATATCAGCAGGAGTAGTTGTAAGCATAAGTATGATGCATAAACGTCGTAGTATTCCTATAGCAGACAAATAAAAGCCTAATACGAAGAGAAAATATACGCATATGCAGATGATTATTTTCTATTCATCGATCAAACTCATCTGTTTCTTCAGATTGTTCCACAGTCATCATTGGGTTAGAAGAAAAATCTCACAAGTCGCAAACTATATTAACTGTAATCCGAAGTGTAAAATTGCGGCGACTTTTCTTCATTCATGTTTATAAAACTTAGTGACAAATTTGTTACAAATATCTTCTTTTCATAACCAACTAAAAATGATACTACTAAAAATTCTTCATGTCTCACATTTTCATTCTGCATAAATTACATTAAACACTTTCATTATCTGTCCTCTTCTTACCACATTGTTCAATTGTAGTTTGACATGCAACAATATGTTCGGCAGAATTCGTTAGTGATACAAATGTTCGAATTATCTTAGTGAACACAAAAAGAAAAATGATATTCATGGTTTATATTTAAAAAATAGGAGTTTTGCTTTATTTCTTACTTTCAATAAAAGATGAATATTTCTCGTTCTTTGTATAGGCCAATGTTTTTCACTCGTTGAAGAGGGTACAAAAAATTGAATAAACGTTGGATGTAAGAACCTGTATGAAATAAAATCCGGTTTACTTCATTGTCTTCTAGTAAATTCAATAGAATACATAAGCAGTCCCCAACAGCAATATCTATTGTAAATATATTTAAAAAATTCATTTTATATGAAAACAAAAGTTTTCCTAACTTACTTCCATCATTGCTATTCTCATCAACAAGAATTCGAAGTAAACACTGAAAACCATTTTCAATGACAACTATGCCTTGTATATATTTTTGGAACGAGTTAAAATTTCAAAAAGTGGAAGTGCCTAATAAAGATATCAAATGTATCTTTCGTTTTTAAATAAAGTAATTACATTATTTGGAATAACTTCACATTCATCTTTTAAAAGACCAAATAAGTTGGAAAAACCTCTACGACCACTTCCCAAAAGCATATCTTGTAATTGTTTAGTACAGTTCGAAAGAAGCACAGTAAATAATCGATTGCTGTACGACGGATATTAAGATCTGTTGCCTAAAGTTGACTTTTGAATAATAAAACATTATCTAAACCATAAAATACGCTCCTACTGTAATCAGTTCAAGAATTAAATGAACATGTTCTTTGTTATTGATAAATGATTCTAAAAAGCGAAAATTTCCATTCACTCATTTTCTCTAATCTGTGAAACTCATACTCGTGAATTGAATGGACATATCATGTGATAATACCAATTGTTCTAGAGAAAAAATTTATTTATTTAAAAACAGATCATCATTGCTAACATACCGCCATCAGCAACAGAATCCATTGCAGTCAAGTTGATTAATGTGTCGAGGATCAATTGAACGAGCTTTAAATCATTTTTTTCATGATGTAAAATATTTCCTAATAGACCTATGCTTTGAGTTCCAACTTCAAGTTTATATTTCTATGAGTTTTTAGATACGTAAATATATTTGTGTATTGAAATTCGTTGTTTTCTTTTATTCTTACTTTAGAAAGACTTTTAAGAGCACGTAGAATATGTCGTCTATCTTCAACACGGTTTGCTGTTTGGAGATGATTGCACAGATTTTCAATCGGCAAAGATAGGCAGAATTTGTAAAAGAATAAGAATGTTGTTTGGTGTGTGTCCATTCCGATTATCCTTATAGACGGAGTGCCCAGTCAGACAAAATGAACAAAAAAACGCATAAAATGAGCCAAAAATAAACGTGTTTCAACTTGTAAAAAATGACACATTTTAACCCGCTATCTACACTTTATAATTCTAAAACTAGTTCTCATGATGTTGGATAGTTTAACGCGTTTACAAGGTGTTAAAATATGCAGTTCTTGCGTGTAGAGTACTGCAAGAGCACAAATTTTCGTACTAGTACCCACCAGAAATGAAACTTGTCTGGCTTTTTGAAAACCGTTACAGGTACCGGTCTGAAAATGTCAGACTGGACTGGATCTGCCGGTCTATCGGTACCGTCTAGTCTATGAACAACTAGTTGATTTGTCAATGATTCTTTGTATAGATGTCATAATACCTAAACATGGGGTAACGAGAATCAACCGTCATAATACCCAACGACTGTTCAACTCAGATGAACTAGATATCTTTTCACTAGTTAAAGTATACTTGCTATGAGGTAACAACTATCAGTCCGTTTAGTTTAATGACTATCGATATGACGGTGTGGATGTGCTTGAGAAGATACGACACCATCACCTACTCCCACACCCAACCCCAATTAGAATGAAGCACATTTTCCGCTAAGATAAATAACTTTGCAACATCGCTTCATGATTGTCATTACACCAAATTCACTCACATTCATCAACTTCTATCATATAGTCATAGGGAATGCAGTACAGTGGCACTGCGTTTTCTGCACGAGGGAATTATTTTAGGGAATCGCAATGAGGACTTGCGTTGTACTAGAAAAGTCGTTACCCGGTGTAATGGGATTATGCCATCACTCATTCTTTGATACTAGAAAAAATTCATGTATAAACCTATTTGTGAAACACGATCTAAAAGGAGTGTTGACGTATATAGGGTATAAATGTGCATCCACCACCGCCCCAGACCAGACCATGACAGACGTTTTAATTAATTAGTTAACAACAATTAAATGTTAATTAGGTAGTTATTAATTAGTGAATGAAAATATCTGGCACGACTTTTGATGATGTAAGGCTACTGACCCATGATAGGCAGTGATATACAGGTTTCAAGGGACTATCAAACATCATGTATAAATAACATCTGATTGGACATACGTGTATATGAAGTGTTTGCCAGTTCAAGTTCTAGACTACAAAGTGAACCATAATGTACAAATACGCCCTTATGTCAATGAGAAGACCAGCTTTTAGAGGAATAACAACAATGCCACAGTCGGGTTTTACATATTTACGTATTAAAAGAATAATTCCAATTTCTTGTAAGACAGTATTGGGTTAGAACACATTTAGTTCTGTGAAAGCGTTGAAATTCGTAAAATCAATAGAACAACGAATAGATTTCGAAAAAAAGGCTCCTGTTAACAGATTGAAGATCAGATAACGTGTGTTAGCTTGTTTAAAATTCCGTAATAACGCCGGTTTAACTATAGTATTTTGTGTAATCGACGCTATTTCAAAATTTGAGAGCGTTTAAAAGCGTTTTTTTAAAGTTCTTGTCTGTCTGGGTAATTAAAACCCATCTCGCTTATTGAATGAAATCATAGTGAGAAAAAGGTGAAAATAGTTTATTGGGTCTTACCGCCTCTTGGGAGATTGTATTATTATTATTATTTGTCGTTGAGAATGGTTTTGTAGATGAAAAAAGAGAACAACACGACCAAAAGGGCATTATATTTTATTAATGATATAGAAAAAGAGGATTTTTTTTATTCAAACGGAAACGTCTGTCAACTTCTGTATCTGCATCTGCATGCATGTTTCATTGTTATTAAGCGGATGATTTATTTGACTGATGCTCATAGTAATCAAAAGAGGCCACTGACAGACGCTGACTTATAATTGTTTGGTTATTTTGTTTAAAAAAACATGAAAAGTTGATCGGTGAAACGAAATGAATGTTATTAGAACGGTGTGGGTGTAGATGAGTAGAAGAATCACACCCTCTCATTTATTCCTGCTCTTCTTAACTTTCCTATTTTTGTCCTACCATCAGATTTCTATACAAAACAATTTAAACAAGCAATCAAAGGTTTAAAGCGCAAAATTTGTGGGGATTAATTCCACAATACACCAACATCTAAACTACTGCTCAGGTCGACTGATCCGACATCGGATCCGATAGGAACCTGGAAATATCCTACAATCCGATACAATTCTATTGGATTCGGGCCGAGGAATCGATGTCGGATCCTCAGTGTAGGAATCCTATGAACTTCCGATGACACACAACGGTTTTTCCTTGGAATTCATAGAAATCCGACACTGAGGATCCGACATCGATTCCTCGACCTGTAATCCAACGATAATTCTATAAGATCTGACAGGATCCGATAAAATCCTATTGGATTCCAGTCGGATCGGATGGGTTCCGATAGGTGCCTACTGTCGGATTGCTCGACCTGGGTGTTTTATTGTATTTATTTTAAAGAAAAACAAATTTGTTCTAACAACTATAACGAATTTCGTATTGTTGTAATAATCGAATGAATCACCGTTTTGATGAAGGCAGTGGTAAGTAGAGCTCGTTATATAGAGATTGCTTGGGGTCAGTGTAACGGTATTTACCGTTACGGCTCACTTTATGTACTTTATCCTCTTCGCTGTATCCTATATTTGTGCATTGACCTGATGAACTCTCATTGTTCTATTGCGTGACCATTCCCTCGTTGTCTATATCCGCTCAAGCGTGATCACTCTCGCGTATATAAGAGAATGTAACTAAAGGAAATGCACGACTAGAGATGTGCAGATGACACAATACACCATTATGCCGACGGGCATAGGTGACACTCTCTATGTTCGTCACAGTCAGGTTCGGTTTCGGATTCGGATTCAAAAATCATGGATTCGATGGGCTTTGATAATCAATCAGACAGGTTTCGGGTATTCAATTAGATGAACAACTTTCATTGTGAAGTTTATTGTCCGATCTGCTTTTCGTAATTAGTTGTTCTACTGGTTCAAATTAAATAGCTTAGGTAACAAGCCGACATTAGTTTGAATTTGATAACCTCGGTAGATAAGTATTGTTTGAAAACCAAATTGATATATATATATATATATATTTATTTATTTATTTTAATCTTTCAGATAAACCTATCTAAGATACAAAATACTTCCTTTTTTGCTCGAATATCAAATATTTCTTTCTTGAGTAGATCGACATTTCAATTAATGTATAAAAATTAGTAAACGAATAACTACGTCTAATAATGAGAACGAATCTAAGAATTTCATTTTATTTACTTAGCTCTCATTGATTCAATGGGTTCTTTGATATATCATATTATAATTTCTGAGGAATCTTGTTATAACAGTCAATAAAAGCAAATTGTCAATGGTTTCGATCTTAGCAAAAATAATTTGACAGCGATGTTCAACATCACAACGAACATCAAAACACAATAGTTTTTTGACCGAACATTCTTGATAACTAAATAAAACCAAACAGAACAGAACAAAATCCTTATCATTACATTCACATTTTAAAATGTCAATGACGAAGGTTGGTTATGAGAGGAGCCAATGAAAAAGTTTTTCATACTCTCGTGTGTCTACCTGAAGATAATTTTTTGTTTTCGGCGTTTGCTTTTTTATTTTATTTCACATGTTAAAAAGATAATTGTTGACATCGATTTAATATCTTTATACTGGTTTGCGTGAGAGAATGGCGTCAAACGTAAATACAGCACGTGCACTTTTTGATTTTGTTGGCGAAAATCCGAATGAACTTAGTTTCAATCAAAATGAGATTCTTATAATAACAACAGTTTCAAACGAAACTCCGTGGTGGTAAGATAAATTATCATTTATTTAAATATTTGTTTTTTTTGTCGCAAAACAAAAAAAGGTCCGCTCAAAATTCTCTTGGACAAACAGGTTTAATACCTTCAAACTACGTAGAACTAATCCATGATGAACCAGAATTAACACAACCAAATACACAGTATGATTATGGTCCAACAGAGGACGATGGTCTTTATCCTGAGTTAATACCACAAGCAAGTCATCCACCCGAGCCCGAACCCGAACCCGAACCCGAACAGCTACAACTCCAATTTTCGAATTTTACTCCAATTAATGACTGGATCACTCCCACACAGCCACAAGCACAAGAGGAAACATTGGTGAGTTTTTTTTCTCTTTTAATCTATTCGAAATTTATATCGAATACTACTCTAAAAAGCAGCCGTATGACGATCAAATACGTCCAGATAGCTCTTTCGATTCATCTCCATCGTCAATGAAAAGAAATGATTATGTGTCAGCTTTTGAACCGGTATCATCTTCAGCAAATAATACATATATTACAGGGATGGACAGTACAGTACCACAAAATTCTGCTCCACAGACAATGAATGATTCTTTCCAACAAAATTATTTGATGCCTTCTCAACCAGATACATGGGCTTTCGATTCTTATGATACATCGGTACCAAATGTATCATCGAATTTTCCATTTGGATATCCTCAAACAACAACTACGGAAAGAAAACAAGAACAACAAATATCATCACTCGACAACATGTTTTATCCACCGCCAGAAGTACAAAAATCTGATAACGTATATGGCTTAGTATCCCCAACAATGGTTTCTTATCAATCTCGAACAACAATACCAGATCCCATAACTAATACATCATCAATGCCAGTAGAAAATCATAATACCAATAATGTTTTTGCAAATAAACCGTTATCAGAAGCAAAATCTGAAGAGCTTCTACCACAAAAACCGTCTAAGAACGGTGCAGAGAAAAAAAAATTCTTTACATTGGGACGCAAAAAAGGAAAACCTGAACTGGAAAAAAGACTCTCAATCAGTGGAGGAACTTCAGAAGTGAGCAATTGATAGATTACATTGTAATTAATCAAATTCAACTATCCCGAACGACTATTGATCATTTATCATTGAGATTTTATAGCCTGATGTTTTTGTTTTTTAGCTATCACAACAAACAACAGACGCGAATTGGTCTCACTCTTTAACTCCAACAACAGCACAAAACAATACAGTAAGATATCATTTACGTTTGCTTTTTTAATCTTTGTTTTTTATTTTGACAACATATTAGAAAGATAAACAATGTAAGTTCTTTTTTTCAACAAAAACAAACTTACAACATAATACATACTAACAATCGACTACTTGATAACATTCTGTTCTTATCGTACCTGTTATCTTTTGCGACGAAAAATATTTTCTTTTCTTGTAGTTTCGCTTTTATTAAAATTTATATTTTTTCGGAAAAAAAGTAATTTGTGTTTTTTTGAAAAATTTTAGTTAACGAATGCCGAAATCGATACTAAAGGAGCTGCTGCTGCTGCTGCTGCAAAAGCAAGGTAAATAGTTTACTTTTCATTTGATCTATAATTAATTGTTTTTATTCAGATTTTTTGATAAACATGGTATAGATAATTATTTATTACGTGGGTGTAAAACTAAATCAGATGAACAAGTTCAAATAAATGTAAAACATTAAAAATATATTATTTTCATAAACTTGTTTTTTGGTTTTGGTGAAGTTTGGTGAAAGAGAAGGTGGTGTTCATTGGATATACAATGCTACTATGCCACCATTTACGTGTAAAATTGAAGAACCATCAAAAGGAACAAAACTAGCTGGAGCAAAATCTTTTATGGAGTATAAAATTCATACGGAAGTAAAACGTGGAGTCTTTTTTGCTGAAAAAAATATTCAGCTTGTCTTTTTCTTTTTTCGGTACATTTAGATATCCGGAAATCGATTTGTCGCACGACGTTATAAACACTTCGATTGGTTTCATACGCAACTTACTAATAAATTTCGTTTCATTTGTATTCCACCGTTGCCTGGAAAACAAATCACAGGTATAATTCTTTTATTTTTGCGTGTTGTTTCTGTGAAAATTTTCGTATAGGACGATTTGAACAAGAGTTTGTTGCTGAACGTCGACGACAACTTGAGATGTGGCTTAATCGCATTTGTCGTCATCCAGTACTATCTGCTTCGTTTGCTGTACAACATTTTGTTTCTTGTGAACGCACTGAAGCGAATGATAGAGTGAGAAGAAGAAGAAGAAGAAGAAGAAAAAATGCTTATATATGAGTTTGTATTTCAGGAGTGGAAAGCAGGGAAAAGAAAGATCGAAAAAGATGAATCAAAAGATGCATTATGGCTTAATTGTGTTAGTTTTCTGAATTCAAATTTATCCGATGCAGAAATGTACTGAAATTTTCTATTTCTCTTGTTGTTTTATTCTTCTTTTTTTCTAATCCTCGTTTAGTCAACTTCATATCGATGAATTTGCTCAACATCAGCCAAGTCTCGAAACACAAATACGAAATCTTGGTCAAGGCTTAATGAAATATCTTGAAAGACATACTGAAATTTACGAACGAGATATTCAGCGTATTGGTGAATTATTTGCTAAATTTCAGAAAGTTCTACAAATAGATACAACTACACCTGGTAAATCATCGAGTTTTTTTATGTGTGGATAACAGTCTATGTTTAATATTTTAGGTAATCAAGAACTTTCAGATTCAACGCTGAAAGTCAGTAATGCATATAATTCAATAGCTGACCTATACAAAACAAAAGTAAGATGACATAGTGAATAGATCGCGTAAGATGTTTTCGTGTGAATGAAATTAGTAGCAACGAATCATCACGCTGAAATCGATGTATTTTGATGATCTAAAACAGTAATTTCTTCACACTGAGTAAATGGATTACTTTCCAAAGAATAGGGGTGTCACATTTAAATTCAAGAAATTTAAATTTAATTAAATTTTAAATTTTGTATCATTTTGATTTAACTAAAGTCAAATTTGAGTATGTTTCCCGTTTTCTAAAGTTAAAACTAGTCATTCTTCTATGAGTTGTGCTATTAAATATATTTTTATGAGTATCCCAGTATTCTGAAGAAAAAATATGACGGATCCTGCATAATCTGTAGAGAAATTTTGACTATTATGAATAAATATTAACCTAAAATACTAGGTTTTCCTCTCATTTAGTATTTACTACTGTTAAAGTCACGCATTTCTCTCGTAGCAATGATGTGTATCCATCATTTTAATTTATTTCAAATTTAACTTGATAGAATTTAATTTAAAATTAAATTAACTTTTCATGAAGTTAAATGTAAATTAAATAAACTGTAAATTGACATCCCTACCAAAGAAAGTATATTATCGAGATGTTACATTTTATCCTAATAATAGAAACTGTTATATTGCAACTTCAAAGTATTGATACTGGCTCATACAATGAATATTAACATATCTGATTTAGGCTAGTGAAGGTATTCGAGATTTCAATGAACGTGTCCAAGAATACATTGGAATTTTGGCTTGTTTTCCATTGATATTGCATATGCAAAAGGTAAATAAATAAATAAATTGAATTTTATTGTCAATCGAAATAAATCGTTTTTAGAGTTCATTTGAATTCATGCGTAGTTTACAACAACGTCCTCCAGCCGATTTCAATATTATATTGCATCGAAGTCAAGTTCTTAATCATGTTGTTTTAGCAGAAATAAATTTCTTTCAAAAGGAAAAAGTCAAAGATTTGAATTTATATATGCAAACATTGATGAATGAACAAATTCAATTTTATGAAAAAGTAAATTCTTTTGTTCTGGTTTGACAACAGAATTTTATTTGAATTCATCTATTTATAGATCACATCAGAATTAAAAGATGCAGCAGTAACATTTCATTAAACGTATCTAATGATGGCAAAGCGTACAAATTATTTTTTCAAAATAAAAGGCGAACTGGAAACTTCTCTTTGTGTAATTTATTATTCTATTTTGCGATTTTATTTTCCTGTTATACGAATAATATTTGATTTAGCGTTTTTGTTTTTTGTTTCTTTCTGTTTATTGAAAACAATAATAACAACAGAAAAAAAACAAATGAAACAAGATCTCTCTTTTCATGTAAATGAAAGACAACATAACTGTTTGTATACAACAGAAAAACAGGATTGTCATCATATATTTCGAAAACCTGGCGATCGACCAAACGGTAGTATTGAAGGAGGATTACGAGTATTTTTAAACGACGCTGATAATGATGACATTTGTTCTATTGGATCAAAGCTACCCGGAGTTGTACTCATCATCATTGATGTTAACATATCATCGCCATCGTCAAGATCGTGACCCTAGCATAAATAGAAATTGAATTTGTTCGGATTCTTAGAAATATTTATTTTGAACTTGAATTTACTTACATTTGTGTCTCCTGTTGATTCGTTAGTTGTAGCTATATCATCATTTTCTTCTCGATAATCATTGTATATTGGCCGAATAAATATAGATGAACGTTTTAATACATATGGATCAAATGGAAAATAAGAATAGAGAATATCTGACGGTATCATTGCTGAATTATCGTTAGAATAACTATTAGTTGCAAATAATTCTGGTAAAGAATAACGATTATTTGTTTCAATAATTGAATAGCAAAAAACAATTTGATAATTTCTATTCGAAAAAGAAAAAATACGTAGAATTTTATTTTGTGAAACTCATCTATTTTCGAACGAAAGGATGAGACATTTACCGGTTCCTCCTTACTATAGACATAAATAACTAGATAATGTTCTAACTAACAATCTAAGGAATAAATGGATTTTTGCATTAGCTTAGTGAGCCCAACGCATATATGTGAGTTCCAAAGTTTATTCCCGCTGGGGCTGCACTATTAAAGATTACCTGGCTAATTGTGCAAACCGAAGAGTGATCGCAGCTAGGCAATATTTAAGAGGATTCAATTCCGATGCAATTATACGACTAAGTCGCCATTGTGAAACAGTTTCTATGCCTATAAAGAAAAAACTTCTACAATAGAAAAGTTCGTGATTGTGCTTCTTTTTTTTACCATCAGGTAGTCGAGCTATTTCATGATGTCGATAGATAAATATGTAGAGAATTGCTTGACAAATAGCATAAAATGGTAAATGACGATTTGGATTGCTACTATTTGTCTCCGTTGTACTAACATAACTATGTAGCCAATCAACCATTAATTGTGTTATAGTTAATACAGATCTTGATAAGAAATTAAAATTGAAGAAATTAAGAGAAAATTAGTTTTATCTTTACCTTGTCGAAATGTATTTAGCTCGAGCAATTAAACTACACAGATAACAAACAGCTGATTGTCGAAATGTCATCGATACTGATGGTGATGTGAATGTTCGCCAACAATTATTCATGAATTCATCGCTGAAATCCTAATGAGTAATTAAGAAAAAACAAAAGATTAAAGTAGAAGTATTTAAGATATTGGCAAGATTTTAATTCGTGAGATGCAGAAATTTATCCTACTTCATCTCAAATGGCTTTGCTCTGATTAAATGCGCAGGATTTTCCCTCAGATAAAACAGATCATTCGATTTAACGTACCGTATGAAAACTACAAATGTGAAATAGAAGATATTGAACATGAGATGAATCATGTGTTGGCAAAAGAATTTTATTAAAAACATTTAATAAATCTCGAAATAATGATTTTGCTTCTAGATAATTAACTATTCCTAAATTAAATGAGAATATGTTTTCTTATTAAATCAAAAGCTTTGTTTATTTTTGAAAAATGATTTACCATTTTGAACAGCTACATTTGTTATATATTCAAACAAAACATACATAAGACAATCGAGTTTATCGGCTTGATCATGCTTCATTTCATTATTGTCGTTTGTATGAAGTTGTTCAAGTGAAAATACAAGTTCATCTTCAATATTAACTTTTTCAGCATGAAGAATATCTTTTCGTGATGCATGAACCTTGTTAGTCAAGGGCAAAAACAATGAATTATTTTCATAGATTTTTATAATTAACTCTTACATCTATACGAATTAATTTCGAAACAATTATTTCAAGATAACGTGATCTTTGTATTGATAAATATGATAATGATCGAAGTAAATTTCTAATATAGACTACTTGTATATTCGCATCTTTTGTCATAAATGGAAAATGTTGTTCGGCTGTTGGACACAGAAGAGTTAACGATCTAGACAAAAATTGGTCGGGTTATAATATTTCGTATGTATGGGGAATAGAGATGTGCAAAAACAATCTGATCCCCGTCGTTAGGATGAAAACAAATATGATCCTGCACATTTCTAATAAGTGAGAAACAATGATTTTCTCTAAAATTCCGCATCATGAATATCTTACAGTGGTACGATAAGAACGAGTTGTTGTAATGTTTCATGCGCAAAATCGTGTATTAGAGGAGGATTGGTTGAATTTTCTAAAAATAGAAAGAAAAACAAAGACAAGTTATTAGACAAAAAATTCAGATTGATTTTTACCTGGTATAGCAAAAAGTGTGAAGAGAAAACCGAGATAACGTTGTGCATGCTTTGTATTCGATGAAATAAGAGTAATTTGAAAAGTACCAAATGTATCAAGTACTACTTTTGTTTGTTTTGCCCAATTAATTTGTAACTAGATAACAGAGAAACACGTTATTAATATTGTAGAGAAACAGAAGTTTGAAATAAAATAACCTGGAGAAAATCAAGAAATTGATCATTCATATTTTCAAATAAATCAACATTATCACGTAACTCATTTAACAATTGAATTAACCAATGCTCCTAAAACAAACAAAAAAAATCCTTTATTCAGATAGGCAAAGACAATACTCAGTTTTACTTACATTCGTTTGATTTTCTTTAATAGTTGCTGTTATAGTATTATACAAATACTTTTGACCCTTGAAAAAAATGCATACTTATTATTTATATGGTGCAAAACATGAATAAACATACTCGATTGAATTGATCGAGAGCTTCTTTAACATGATCAATAGTGATAGTATGCAGCATGATTATATATTCTAAAATAATTCATTAGTCTTGTGTATAAGACTGTGATGGACCGTATGGAATCATAGCTGAACTGTTTTACTAATGAGGATTTGCATTGAGCGTCAGTTTGCGAATTTCTATTTAATCATTCTTAGACGACGAACATAGAGTTCATTTATTTCCGTGGTCGTGTTGTGCAAGCAATTAATAAGTGACTTTTCCCTCGGTATAAAATAGCAACGGGAAAACATTTTCATTTACAATCAAACACATTGAGCCGTTGAAATCTTTATTAGAGAAAATTTCTGAAGTTCAGTATCGAATAAAAATTTCACTGCTAAATCTTTTTCTTTTATTAATCGGAGAATGTTTATATCTTAACTGAAGCTGTAAATAAGGCTTCAGAGCGAATGTAAAAATAATCATATATAAACATATGATTTATTCGCAGAAGGCTTTCAAGTAAACCCTTTATACATACACTAAGAAAATATTGACTATAGAATTTAAAATGCTTTCGCACTTTGACCGACTCGTTTTAAGTTTATTTATGCGTTATGTACCTTAGGATATCGTTTTAGAATGTTAATGTATTGTCGTTTAACATACACTTATACATTATAAAGAAAAATAAATAATTTAACGCTGATCAACTGAGTCACTATTATCGAAAAAAAGAAAAAAGAAATTCGACAGATATTATTTCTTCAAGAGTTATTCTTGCCTGATTTTTCTTTTGATCGATAGAAATTCTATCATTATTCAGAATCTTTTCTTTTCAGAAACTCAATCCTGTGAAGTCGATCAATGCATTCACTTGTATTCTCTAAGCATTATTATACTGTGTACTCTGAGCATATGTTAATGGCCAACAGCATTTGTCTCTTGAAAAGTTCACCACGATTATGTATGAATCATTATTGCCATCTATTGGTTATTCTCATTGTCCAATCATAAAAATGTAATCAGCCGCAGAAAAAAACATTTGTTTTCTAGACGTCTATAATTTTATTATTTTCTATTCCAGAAATTTATATGACTAATCGTTGAGTTTCTTTCTTTTTTTTTCTTCTTCTTGTTCTTGCTCTATCAATAATATCGAGCCTTTTTCTTTTTCCGATGAGAATAAAAGACGCACGTTTTTTGCCGTAACTATAAGTAATATATCATATTTTTTGCTTGTTTTTCTTAGCTGATTATTTTTAAAAAAAATGAATTCTTCTGATGATCTTGATGAACGTAGACAACGTAAATTAGCTCAAATGTCACGTCGTGATGAAGAACGCAAATTAGATCTTCAAACAAAACAAGATGAAAGAAAATGCACCACATCAACAAATGTTGGACGAAAATATTTTGAACAAGAATATCCATTGATGAAAAGTGAAATTGAAGATTTATTTAGTCAATTATCAGTTAATCATCATGATGAAAAAATCTTACAAGACATCGTTGATCGTTTACAAACAATGGAGAAATTTCTTACAGAGCATGTCGACATTTTAAGTTCGCGTGATGTTGCTAACGGACAAGGTAAGCAAGTATTTCTCGGTACTTACGACGCCAAAAATTTGTTTTAGGTGATGTAACAAAACTTCGTCAAAAATTAAATTCTTTACAATACGAAACTCTTTCATCAACTCATCGTATGGGTTTTACAAAAACACAGGAAGAAACTCCAAAGAAAGAAGAAGAATCAAATTCAAAAGTTCCATCAGCAAATTTTATCGCTTCATCAAATACAATAAATATCTCGAATAAAAACAACGAACTAATTCGTTTAGAATCAGCAGACCTTAATGGAAAAGATGTTGCAATTGAAAATTTAAAACAATGCGAACTATTTCTTAAAGGTGTTCCATCATCGTTACAAATAAAAAATCTTAATGCTTGTATCCTCATTGTTGGCCCTTGTGCACGCTCAATACTTATCGATCAATGTCAGCAGTGCGAATTTGCTTTAGCTTGTCAGCAATTACGTGTTCATACAAGTACTGAATGTGACTTTTATGTTCACATAACAGCTCAACCAATTATTGAAGATTGTCATAATTTAAGATTTGCACCGTATAATGTTAAATATAATTTAAAAGATGAGCATATTAAACAAAGTGGACTTTTATGGACAAAAGATTATTGGGATGATGTACGTGATTTCAATCATATGGTTGTTGGAATGCCTTCACCGAACTGGCGAATAGTCGAAGAAGAAGAAAGAAAAGAATGGTCAATTGATTAAAAAATAAATAAAATAATCATTTTATTCATGTTTTCTTTTTTGCATTCCATTGTGATAAAAGATAAACAATAGAATCAGAATAAAAACAAAATTTATTCATCATTGTTTATCATTACTATTCAAAATCATATTTTCTCGGTTCTTTTTCTTTCATATTTGTGTCGTGTACACATGTTTCACTTGTTTTTGTTTTAAAATGTCAATACTATTTCGCTCTATTGTGAAGAATCTCTGACTCTCTACTTAGATCAATTTTTGATAATAAAGAACAACATTTTTGCTCAGTCAAGGCCAACAACAAATAATAGAATTGTTTTTTAGATACAAAATGACTGAAACTTTGCAATCAAATTCGAATGAATATGATAAAGTCGCCATACTCGATGCCGGTTCACAATATGCGAAAGTAATCGATCGTCGCATACGTGAGCTATCAGTTTATTCCGAACTTGTTCCTTTGCAAACATCCGTTACTGAATTGCTTTCGCGTAAATACAAAGCTATTATTGTATCTGGCAGTCCCGGTTCAGTTAATGATCCAAATCCAGCTCATTATGATCCGAAATTATTTGATTGCGGTTTACCAATATTAGGCATTTGCTATGGCCTACAAATGCTAAACAAACAACGTGGTGGAACTATTGTACGACAAGCTGTTAGAGAAGATGGACAATTTCAAGTCGAACTTAATCAAACAGAATGTCCGCTATTTAAAGATATGAATAAATTGGAAAATGTTCTACTAACGCATGGTGATAGTATTGAAAAGCTTGGTGAAAATCTACTAGTCGTTGGTAAAAGTGAATCATTTATTGTTGCTTGCGCTGATAAAGAAAAACATATTTATGGCCTTCAATTTCATCCCGAGGTAAATTAATTATATAAATAAGTATTTTGCTTTTTTCTTTTGCTTGCCGTATTTAATTGTGCGTTGAAATAGGAGTTACCTGGACTAGTGCAGACTTCACCTTCGTAGCGAAATGAACGATAAAAATTGTCCGTTGAGTGTAAATTGGTACGAACGATTGGTGGATGGGTTTTTTTCTTCATCTCGATAGATAAACAATGATTTTGATGAAAGTTTGTTTCGTATAGTTGTCTTGTTTCGGGTCGATGAAAAAAAACGATGCGCCTATGTAATAAAATATGGCAAAAATGCGACAAAACAAAATAGAGCTGAAATTTATACGCCATGTGTAATGAATATAATAGTGAAAAAAATCTTCTGCTCATAAGTTTTATTTTTCAATTAATTTTGTATTTAGTATATCGGATGATAATTAAAAGAAAGGCAGAATTATCAATCTGACTACATAAGTGATTTATGTTGCACTGTCTAAAAAGATTTTAGTAATTTAAATCTTCAATATCCTCAAAAGGATCATCAGCTTATTCTGTTATGCTTACGCTTGGCAATGTCTTATGGGTATGCAAAAGTAAAACCTGCGGAGTCTAGTCCGGTTGAAATTTTTTATTTTTGTAGTAATAGCAGCTAGTACAGATCTTCAAAGACAATAAAGTTCACTGGAAAGCATTCAAAACAAAGTTTCACGTTCAAGACAACTAATACTATTTCGCATAAGATCCATATCTATTTCTTTTCTAATGAGTTTTACTCTTTAAATATTTGAACGCAAGAAAAATGCAATCTATTTGTCGTGATAGGAGATACGCATATAGGATTAAAATGACTAGCTTTTTTGCTTTCTTTTCATACTCATTTAAAAATCGTACGATGGAATGTTTTGCATTTTGTAAGATTTCTAGTAAAAAAAATTTAAAATATTTTCGCGGCACGAAAATCCAATTCGAACGCTTGTTGCAATCATAATCTACATACACTTTAAAAGCGATTTCTTTTTTGTAAATTAAGAATGTTGAAATTCATCTCACATGTCTGTTTTCCATAGAAATTCCTGCACGCTAATATAATTTCTAAACCTGACTCAATTTGCAGATATTTTATAGAATTATTTTCCGATGACCCATCAGTATCGGATTTCATGTCAAATAAATATTAAAACCAGCAAATTCTCCATTAAAAAATACCATAACAGCGCTTTTTTTTCTACCAGAGGTTTTTCTAACAACAGATTTTTTCTGATTATATTGCCTAGAGCAGTCGATATATATTTTGTTTTCTCTCTCTGTAATTATTCTATTTATCGCTAGGTTGATTTGACAGATAATGGCATGCAAATATTCCAAAATTTTCTTTTCGATATTGCACATTGTCAACCATCATTTACTATGGGCAATCGAATAGAAGAAGCATTTACTAATATTCGCTCATTCATTAAAGATCAAATAGTATTTATATTATGTAGCGGTGGTGTAGATAGTTCTGTATGTGCTGCATTGTTAACACGCGCTTTACCAACTGAACAAGTGAAAATCGTCAGTATCGATAATGGATTTTTACGACACAATGAAGGTGTGGAAATTCGTCAAACATTATCGCAATTTGCAGCCGTCAATTACATTGATGCTGGCCAACGTTTTGCACAAGCTAAAACATTTGTACGTGCTAAACCATCAACATCATCGAATGATTCATCGTCGAGTGCACAACGACGCATATCTGCATCATCGAATTTCTTGAGTTTATATGATGCTGATGTATTACTCGAAGAAACTTTACCATTAAATGAAGAAACTGATCCTGAACATAAACGTAAAATAATTGGCGACACATTTGTGAAAGTCGTACAAGAATTTTTGCGTGATAATAATTTTACATTCGATGATATTATATTAGCACAAGGGACATTAAGACCGGATCTCATTGAAAGTGCATCACATTTAGCATGCCAAAGTGGTTATGCTGATGCAATTAAAACTCATCATAATGATTCACCTATGGTACGCGAGTTACGCAAACGCAATCGTGTTATTGAACCATTGAAAGATTTTCATAAAGATGAAGTACGAAAAATTGGTTTAACATTAGGTCTTCAGCATGATGTTATATATCGTCACCCATTTCCTGGTCCCGGTTTAGCTATACGAATCTTATGTGCCGATGAACCCTATATGCCCAACGAACAATTTTCTCAAACATCAACATTATTACGAACTATTGTTACGTACTCAAAAATGGTCGATAAACAATATGCATTATTACCAACGTTAGATAAGATATTTACAGAGAATGAAAAAATTCTTTTGAAAAAACTCACATCACCTGTTCAACACGATTATACATCAGTTGTATTACCAGTAAGTTTAGTCAATCCTTTGTTTTATTTTCGTGTAAAAAAAATGAATAGAGATATAAGTGACCAGCGGGTTCGTTGTCGGGTATTCTAAAGAAAACTTGAAGTACTCAATTTACAAATGATAGAATGAATATGACTTGTACTTTCATAAATCAATTATGTTTTGATTGATAAGATAATTCAATTCTTTAAACCCGCTTAGAATAACATTCGAACCGAAACTATATTTAGCTGTAGCATACATTCTCTATAGTTGAAAGATGTATTTGTATGAACTAATGATTAAAGCGTTTGTTCTCTTGGTATTTTAACTTCGTATTAGATGAAATTAGAATGAAAAAGGCGATGATTCATATTTTGCTAGCCGCTGCTACGTAAATTTTCGAATAGAAACTTGAGTCCTTTCTTGGAAAGAAAACTACTAATTCTCTAAAATAACTTATTATAGAACGAACAATTACTGGAAAGTTTTTATTTAATACGCTACATATAATCAAAAGTCAGAATTAGACACTTTCTGTTAATGACAAGCTCTTGTGAATATGCCCTTCGAACCGAGAACATTTTATTTTTTTGCTGCTGTCATGCTGTCATTCTCTCCAATTGTCACTGAAGTATTTCTGAATAGAATGTCAAATGCTGGCTAATTTCATTAACCGGAACTTCATAATTCTATTTTCAATTAAACTAAGTAAAATTTCTTAGTTATTTTAACATCTTGTGTAGATGCCGCTAGTTGTGAATGGTATAGTAAAATAAATCAATTCTATTTTAGATACGCAGTGTTGGTGTTCAAGGTGATGCTCGTACATATAGTTTTGCTGCAGCTATAAGCTCAAATGATGAACGACCCAATTGGAACGAATTATTTATTCTAGCTCGATTGATAACAAAAGCCTGTCATCATATAAATCGTGTTGTTTATATTCTTGTACGTGAAAATATTAGCATAACAATATTCTTTGTTTTTATCTCTTTGTTTTTATTTTAGGGTAAGAAAATTCTTGATGCTGAAATTACTCAAGTAACGCGTACATCATTAACGCAGGATATTGTTGATAAGGCTCGTGCCTGTGATCATCATGCTATGCTTATAATGAAAAAGCATAATGCATACAGTGCAATAAGTCAAATGCCAGTTGTATTAATTCCAATACAATTCGACAGGCAAATTTATTTAAATGATCATGAAGAGATCAATAAAAACGGTGACCACGTTAATGAAAGAATCATTCCACTTACACGTCTTCGATCCATAGCGAGTAGTTTTCAACATTCAGTTGTATTACGAACATTTCTTACCAAAGATTTTATGACGGGACGACCAGCTGTACCTGGTGAAACGTTTCACATGGAAATGTTGGATGAAATGTGTCAAACAATAAAAAATAACGTACCCGGTATAAGTCGAATTTTATATGATTTAACATCGAAACCACCAGGTAGAAATTCAAAATCTAGTCACAAGTTTTTTGTGTTACATAATTTTCTTTCTTTTCTTTTAGCAACAACAGAATGGGAATGAACCATTTCTTCATCATACTTCTCATGTATTTGTTTTGTTTATTCAGGGAAAAATATAATTCGCCTTTCTTTTGTCATCATCTTAAAAAGAAAATAAAAGACAGCGCATATGAATGTCTAAAATGCCGGTGAAATAAATCGTCTCTATTTTATTTTAATAATTATGAAAAAAAAGTCCATATTCTTCACTTGGCTATTTATGCGGACGTATATGGTGACGTTGATGAGTTCGTTGAATTTGTTTTAAATAACTATTCGATGTCTTATTCCAGAGAGCATATCGTTGATGAATGAGTCCATCGTGGATAATAAAATAGATAAATCCATATAATGTTATTCCAAGACACATAGAAAGATATATTGGCGAAGAAGTGAAGTAGCCAATGAAAATCAATCCAATTGCAATCGATGCAAAAAACAAACGAAACATATTATTGAATTCTAATGGCGAATGAACAGTTCGATTGTGATGCATCTTCTGATGAATGAACCAGAGAGGACCATGAAAAAGATATTTCTGTAAAAACCACGAAATAAATTCCATGGATATTACTGTTGTTAGAATTATAAATCAGACGTTATGTAATGTTAGCATTGCAGGTAATGGTTCGTGTCGATTATGTACGTGTGTTACAAGCAATAGTTTAATAGCAAGTCATTCGCAAGGTGTCGCGCACGTAGAAAATTCAGCAAAAATCTTCTTAAATACTTATCAAAGGTTAATATTATAAAGTTACTATTCTTAATTTTCTATCTTCAATAAGCATATGTTATTTCCATCATTAACTAAATCAAATAATAATTAGCGTAGATCATATCAACAACAATCAACTGTAGATGCTCAGTCTCAGTCTGAATAAAAAAAGGTTTTATCAAATATTGAGAATGAAATTTAAATCAAGCCAATAAACATTGTTAACTAATAAATCTTATTTTTGATCATCAAATATAATAACAAATTTAGATATTTTAAACTTTTATTTTCTTGTTTATTTGTTTAAAGTAATTAAAATATTCAAATGACGAACAAAATCAAGATAACTCATTATAAAGTACCCAGTGAAAAAAACGGATAGGAACGCATTCATCAGAATATAGAATGCTTTCTTCTCAGTTCAAAAATCTTTCTTTATCAGAATAGAAAGCCTTCTAAACCGTTCCATCCACAATCGGAATGGTCTGTTTTTATTCTATTTGAGAACGGTCAGGATTGAGTTCTATTTAGAGGAGATTGCATTCTTTCACCCTCTGTAATGTAATGCCTCAGAATACATTCTAGATCGTTAAATACCATTCATCGAGTATAATACGTTGTCATAGAACACAAATTCAGTCCTTAGGAGCGCTTAAACTTGCCTCAAAGCGACACAGGCAATCTATGATATTCGACAGCTTCAATCAAATAATGTTCTGCTTTGTCAAAAACAAATATGTACTTGACAACATATACGTCCAGGTGAAATTCACAAGTTCTTTATTTAAGATCATATTAAATTTCAAAGTGTTATTGAAAAATAGAAATATGAGACGAGTTTAACGATCATGCATAATACATGTGGGTCTGTTTTCCGTTCAGAAAAACATAATATCTTCACCACTGGAAAAGTCTACGAAAATAAAGTAATATGATATGATGTTGCCTCACGACGATCGCTTTTAGGAAAAATAATTATTCCATTGCATTAGAGAAAGAGCTCTGGCCATAAATAAAAAGAAAAACTATGATAAAGATATCCATGGAAGTACTCAAGAAAAAAGACTTTTCCACTTCAATAATGATTCGAGTCTGATTATGATTCTATTTTATTGAATGGAAAAGAAAACATACAAAAACTTGACAAATTTATTCTTGCAGTATATGCTGCACAAAACATCGTTGAATTCCTTCACTTCTTTTGACAGGGATTCTCTCAAATAATGTTTCTTTTTCTGAATGTTATCTTAGTTGTTTTTATACAACAATACCAGCCATAAACTACACGAAAAGAATGATAAGGCGCGACAGTAAGAAAAAAAAATATACACGTGTGCATATCAGTATAGGCCACATGAGGCAAAACCTATGGATTGCTTACGAATACAAAAGAAACATATTGTAATAACAAGTCATATAGCTTGTAGTTGCTTTCTTCATCGTTTTTCGAGTTTACTAATTCAAGACTAACCAATGACAGGTAAGTGGGATGAAAATGACGAATGCACTGATTGCGCAACACTTTGATTGTAAGAGAAATTTTTTTCTAGTTAAAACACTTCGCAGTGCTAAAGAATCCATAGAAGCATTTTTATTAATGAATTAAGATTTCATTTACTTGAAATATTCAATTATTGAATAACTTTAGATAAAAACCGTAACGTGTTTCTTGTACACCACCTAACATACAGTCTTATGTCGAAACGTTTTTCGTCTCCGAGGCAAGCTTTTTACGATCGAAATGGAAAATTATGGCCAAACATGGATGAAAATTTCTTTCGTGATCGTGAAATCAAACCTATTCGTCAGTCGGGACCACATTGTGTATCGACAGTTCTGGCAATGTTAACTGAGCAGACGCCTGAAACTTTCCAAGGACAAATGAATACGCAAGATCCATCCTCGTGGTCCGCAGTACTACAACCGTATGGAATGAAACTGGCCTATTGTCCAATGGATGTACGTAAACTGAAATTCTACATGGATGAATTGATCGCAATCGATGATCTTTTCACACTAAGCTATTATACAAGTAACGATCCTAGTATTATTCTCGGCGACCCAAATCCTACAGGCTGGATAACTGGTTCGCATATAGTGATATTGCATCGAGATAAGATCATCGATCCCGCTTCAGGAACAGTAACACCAGCACTCGAAGATGTATGTAATAAATATCATACAAAGCGTATTTTTCGTGTTGTTCCTAGCGATCATGCTCGTGGACTTTGAGTTGAAAAGGCTTGTTTAACTAGATTTTGTCTCGCAAATAAATTCAGTAGAAGATACTTCCTATCAGTGTTATGCATTTTCAATAAATCAGACTTTTCTTAGATTCCATGCAAAATTTACTTCTGCAACATGATCGTCAAACGAATCGAAAATCAATCGTAAAATTATTTTAGTTATAATCAGAATCAGAACTTGTATAAGGAGACTAAAACTTACAAATGAGCTTCATACTTCAACTTCTATCAGGTCTACATTGAGAAGTTTTTCTATAAAGACAATAATAATAATAATAATAATATAATCTTATCTTACTATGGAATTGGCGTGGGTGTAGAATAAGACAGAGCCACCCACACCAACCCTTGTTCGAGTTAATTGATTTTTGAGTTCCATATTTCCGAAGAGTTCCCAACTCCAGGGAACTTGGTCAGGTCTCAGAAATCTCAATCTCAATCTGACTCTACTTCATTTCTTCAACTTTATTTAAAAAGCAAAATACGACACAAAAACGAAAAAAAGTGTCTTCTAATTTTTTGTTGCTTCAATTTCTTTGACTAGTTTCTTATAATTCGAATCAAAATCATTTTTAGTAAAATCAGTATATAATTTCGTACCAAGAATAATACCCAGCCACCCATCTGGCTTATATTTCGACTGTAATAATACTGGTAGAATAGGTTTTTTCAAGCGATAAGCATATTCTGCTTCACTTTGACAATTCGGCGATTGCTTATATTTTTCCGACATACATACTATTATCACACTTGCTTGTTCGATAGCATGCGCCATACAATCCAATGTACTTCCATGCATATTATCGATATCCATCCAAGTTCGATAGCCTGAATTTTGAAGATATTGACAAATTTTATTGACTAAATCTTTTGAATCATGATTATAACTGAGCATAATGTGCTGAGAAGATTCTGCAGTAACTGATGTACTCGGTGCATTAGGAATTGATATCGTTTGTTTTAATTGCCAAAGTATTCCTTTGGCTGCTTGCTGAATTCTTTCATTCGGATTCGTTTCAGCCAATTGAACTAGTTGAGCAAAATATTTATCGTGACTATGAATTTGTTTGGCACATGAATATTCAAATGAACAAAACCAAATTGATTCAAGTATAATTTGAATTTCTTCTTGTTGTTCAACAGATGAATTGAATTGACGAAGTATTCGAAATAATAATTCAATATTTTCATTTTGTTTTCCAATGCGTATTTGAAATTGCTTGTGTGTACATAGATTTTTTAAACAATTTACCAACGTAAATAAAGATATTTGATTCGATAAATAATAATTCGAACTTTGGAATGCTTGGTCAATCGAGGAAAATAATGGTTCACATAGATGATGGCATGAGTCATCGGATTCAAGTTCTGTTTGTGTTAATATATTTGAATAAAGTACACAGGACATAAGACGTACTTGTTGAATATCAGATTTAAATAGTAGCCGACATATTTTATTAATAACTAAATCTTTATTCAATACTTGTTCGTCTAATGTTAATATATTGTAGAGAATCGATAGACATGATATTAAAACATTATGATGCAACTGTTTTAAAATCATTTTGCCTTCGCCAAGTGTAGATTTTTGTATAAGAGTAATGGTATAGTTTGTTATAGAATTTATCAGACCAATACGATTCATTTCTTGTACGAAAACATTTGTTTCTTTACTAGAACTTGTTAGTAAATTACTTAAACACTTAACAAGATACCACAATGGAACTGTTGTTCCACAATCGACAAGTGAATCGAATAGATGCTTAAAGGTAGGAACAAATAAGGAACTTTGAACTTCAATATCAGAATGAAGAACAAATTCACTAAGTAAATTGATCATATGTGTAAAAACAAAAACGCGATCATTTGTATCTGTTTGTGATCGAGCTGTTTCATCTATGATGCATTGTATAAAATAATCACTGTCTTTCGTTGCTAAATATGGAGCCATACTTGAATGATAAAAATCAGTATGATTAACAAGATAAATTGAAAAACGTGAAATAGGAGCATATATTAAAAAAATTGATAAAATTTGATTAATTAATAGTGACGAACTAACCAATGAAGATTGAAGAAGATAAATAACAAGTCGAGAACTATAATCAATAATTGATAATGATTCATGTGATGCGTTTTTTCGATGATGATGGTGAAAACTAAAGCAAGATTTGCTGGAGGATGAGTTTATTTTATTTTTCGTTGATGTCGAAAATAATTCATTAAGAAAATCTTCTTGATTTTTACATATGAGAGAATAATGTTCAATACATGAGAAAATTGTTAAATGTAAATCTTGACTAAAAGAGCAAAAACTTCATTCGAAAGATAAATCTTAATATAAAATTTTACCTAGTCGATTTTGTTACATGAAAATCAGTATCGTCTCGAAGCCATTGAAGCATTGAATCTATAATCGTTCTACTTTCATCACTTGCTGCACATTCGGCATCTATTTGACATAAACATTTGAATAATCGGCACGCCATTTGAGCAAGTTGCTGTTGTTGTTCGCATCCTTTTCCTTTTGATTTCCATAGTGTTGTTCGATCGATAGAAGAAATAATTGTTTGAATAATACGAATTAAAGGTTGCAACGAATGATGAAAACCGGATTTTCCATCTTCTAATTTCGAAACAAGCTTTTCTAATTCATTAATTGAATTTTTTTTATAATCACGAATTTTCAAACGTGAACATTTTGTGAGTATCTGTTGCGTTGTTTCGTTGGTCGCCATCATTTTCGATGAAGGTACATTGTTTGAATGAATAGTTATTTGCACATACTCTCATACGATTATTCATACCAACCAAAGAACAAATGCATAGGAAAGAAGAAGAAGAAGAAGAAGAAAAAAAAAGAAAAGCAATTACTTTTTCGTTCGTTCTGTCGCCCTAAACATATTCAACAAACGAAACATAACTTGAACTCACATATTAGAGCAGTTGCCCTGATAAAAAAAATGGTATCAGCTTGAATGCTTAACAGAGAACTATGTTAAGAAAAGAAAATTAGAGCCAATACGCTTAGATATTTCGAGACAAAAGCGCGTGCATAAAATAAGAATCATTATGTCCCAACGTCTTGTATAACATATTTCAGATTGAAATCATTCGCAACAGTAATGCGTAATATTAACTACAAGGTTATAAAAAAAAAGAAACATATTGGTATCTTTTACAATTGGTAAAATTTTTGAACACGAGAATTTCCTCTATCAGAAACGTATAGATTCATTGCCGAATCGAACACGATGGTTCTGGGTGCGTTCAATTGTGCGGCACCACTGCCACCTACAACAGTCCCATCAATAGTGATGCCAGTTTGATTGTTAGCACAAAACATTTGAATTCGACTATTGCCACTATCAGCAACATACATATTAAGATAACTGTCAACTTTAATACCCATGGGATTAGATACAAGAATAGGCGTTTTACCAGATGCACCTAAAACACCAGCAATATAATAACCTGATGATGCGTCCGATGTCCATCGAATTACTGTATGTCCATAATAGCTCGTTATAAATAAATCATTGCTTACAGATTGATATTGACCGAAACCCCATGGATAGAACAGTGTTGTATTCGCGTAGCCACCTCCATTATCACCAGCTGCAACAACTCCATTCGTGCCGGATGTTGAACTGGTTGAATAACGCATAATACGATGATTATAAAAATCGGCTGCATATACATAGGCATTTGTTGAGTCAACAGTAATGTATCGAATACCGTTGAATGCTGACAATGTAGATCCAGTTGACCCATTGATGCCGGCAACAGTGGTTGCACTTAATGAACCACCACTAAATTTTTCTATGCGATATCTTGAGGATAATTGAAACGATCAGAACTAGAGCCAGCCGATTGATATACTTCTGCTACGATCATCGGAGTTGTAGAATTACTAAAAAGTCGTCATACAACAGCATTAGGAGTTGCGTCGACTACATATAGAGTATTATTTGAATCAATGTATAAGCCATTAGGTGCTGACACTTGTGATGAACTAAGTATAGTTGTAGCAGATGGATTCCAGCGTAAGTCATCCACACTACCTATACATGTTCGGAAGAGAAAGATTAATTATTCTGTATTATCATGTTGTCGTACTTATATGGATTTGGTATTGCTGTAGTTGTAGTGGTCGTAGCACTTTTATCAAGAAATAAATAATAGAAGACGTATAAAAAAATGAATCTCAGATCGATTGAATTTTTAACTGATTTCTTAAACGATACTCACTACATACTCTGCGAAAAAAGTTAAAATCAGTTTCGATAGAGTGAAATGGAAAAAAATAATCATGAAATAAAATACATATGCCCATCAGTGTTTTGTTCACCGAAATATTATTTATACTCACGTAGTCGTTGTCGTTGTTGTAGCTACTCATGAAACAGTACAGTTTATCATTATTTTATGAAACCAAATATCAATCACTATGTTCTCACCCGTAGTAGATGTTTTTGTTGTATCCGCTGTTGTCGTAACGGTTGTTAGTGAATTAAAACCAAAGTAGTGAAAAATATTTAAAAGCATCATGCGAGATGGCACAAAAGGCTAAAATAATTACTTTGATATTTCTCTGTCGATATGTTATGAAGTTAACATTTTTATTTCAAAAAAGGAGAATAATCAATTCTGTATTGATGTTAATATTGAGCTTTGAAAGTACTCCAAATGAAAAATGATAAATACTAGTAGCACTACTTGTTTTCAATGTGAGAAAGATAGTCACTGTTACACCAGTGCAAATGACAATAAAAATAAGAGAACCGATAAGAATTGCGAGCTGCTTTATTGCCCAAAATGATTGTTTTGGAGAAGGACTAATACTTTCTTTAGACTATATTTTTTCACTGCATCAACATCGGCATCCTGTGTTTCTACTGGTGGACTTGAACTTGATTTTATTGGTTCATTTGAATCCGCAATATTATTGATATAAAAAGGTGGGTCATCCTAAAAGAAACATTACAAAGAAACGCAAGTAAATATGAGAATTTCTTTTGGAATTAGTGAAAAACATCAGAGTGCATTTGAAGAAGGTAACAATTTACAATAAATTGGTAGTAGAATAGAATTATTTCGAAAGTCAATTTATGCTATGAAATTTGCATTAACTTCGATGTTTTTCTTTTTAATGATTCGTTCAAGTGTATCATGAGACACTTACATTATAGACATTCTTGTTAAATTTGGGCAAGTATCTCACTTGAATTTGATCTGTGTTTGGCATTTCAAATCAATAATGAAAGAAACAACAGATAATGAATCTGATCTAGTCGAATATATCGAAGTTCGAGAAACAAGGTAGTGACTAAAGGTGTTGGAAAAGAGAAGGCGCAACGAAATGCTCTTCGATTTTTTTGTTTTCACGTGGGATAAAGGTATATGATAGATCAATTATGTTCTTTTGTTTGCATTCTAGATTGGCTGATTTTTATTTTGAAGAAGAATTCTAATTGAAAGATGATAAAAGGGAGTTGAAGTGAAAATAAATATTGACTAAATCTTGCGACCATCATTTAACCAACATACTTTTGAAAACAAAATACTTGTGTTCATGAGAAGTTTAGAGTAGAAGCTGATTCTGCTGGCAATGTTGCAGTTCGCTGGATGGAGACAAAATAAAGAAACTTATTTATGCTTGCAAACTATCAAATTTTTATTCAATGAAATATTCTAAACAGAAGATCATACTGTATGTTTCAACTATCTCAACGGCTTAGGCTTGAGAGTTTCCTATTTCCTCATTGGATAGAATTCTACAGTTGACCTCTTTTGATTACGCCTAAATCACCAGTACGAAATTCATGATGAGAAGTCTTGAGCCAATAATTTTATTCTATGCGATGACCTCTCACATGAGAAATGTGCTGACGATGACCGCAAGACAAAAAGTATTCAGTCTCTCTGCCGACCGCCGCTTTGTTCCTGAAAACAAACTACCATCCATTCTCTTTGTCTATCTGCCTCTTAAAAAGCAAATCATCGTCGAACATAGTCAGTCTACAGATAATTTTATAAAGATCATGCCGCAGCCTTTCGCTAAAGAATATGCTGAATTAACTTTATGTATTGGATTCCTGATATTAATCGCTAGTTTTATCTTTGGCAGCATTGCATTTACGTACTCTGAGTATCATAAGTCTCAATATGATGGGAAAACTTTCACTTTGGAAACTATATGCCATATTGATGGCATTGTTTCGCGTCCTCAAGAAGAAAACAGTTCCTCGCTGATCATAATCAATAGCACTTTTCTCGTTTCGTACGAAATAAATGAAAATGGAAACACCACAAAACATTTATTCGAGGAGTGGTCGATACCTGTGTCGCTTCAACCGAATGTGGTAAGCATAGAATTCATTTTCGTATTCGCCTATTCATACTTGTTGTTTCTAGGTAAACAGTACATATTCATGCTACCTTGATCCGAGCAATCCTCGACGACGACCACTTAAACTGATGCCGGATATTGATGCTGCTAGCAGAAAATTTATCTGGTATGAATTAATACCTATGATAGTACTGCTCTTATTATCGATGCTGACAGGTGCTATTCTCATTTATAAATGTTATATATTTATTTTACAAATTCGACCACAATGCATATTTGGTGTTCTAACGCACCCTACTAATATTACATAGTTAATAAACTAGTTTACTACTCATTGAATGTTCGGTTTTTGCATGAAAAATAAACAAACTTTGATAAGATTCTATCAAGAAAATGCACTTGGTTCTCATTGTTTTTTTGTTTCTACTCGAAGAATGTGAACAGAATGAAGAAAATAAATTTGTCTCGATATTTTATTTTTCAATGAATAATGCTATGTAAAATATCTTATCAGTCAAAGTACGTTCAACTGTATGTGTGTGTGTGTGTGTGGCCTTCTTCATTTTGAATAATTTATTTCAATTGACACCAATCATGTGAAATTCAAAAGGATAGATCAAAAATACAAGACACTGCTTAATTTAAAGCTAACTAGTATGAGAAAAGTGTACAGTGACACCTGAAGGAACCAAAACGCATCAAGTATTTTGTCTATTGTTAATAACAAAGTAAAGACATCGATATTCCGACGTTAAATTTCTTAGTTCTCTAATAAAGACCACGCAATGGAAGATGATAAAATGAATAACATATTATTTCGTTAGATTTTGAAAATGTAAGAAAACAAAGTTCAAGTTGATCAATTGTGTTAACTTGTTGTATGAAAATAATAATGAGTTTCTAATAGATATGTAGAAAAGAAGAATGGTAAAAGTGACCAAACAAAACAATACATAGCCTAATTGTTATCGTTGAGTGCAGTCTTAATTTTCGTCTACATTCGTGAGATAGTCCCACAATATTTAACAGTAAAACTATCGAATTATGCCTTTGGACCTGTTCCAATAGATCGTGTTCATCTGCAGAGGTTGACATCCGTTCTGAATATTCTATTGATAAAACGTGACATACGAATACCAATTTATAAGATTATGCAGAATTTATTATTGAATGCACCAGGTAATCTTCTTGCCAAAAAATTGATAGTGATGTTGAACAAGCATCAGAAATATTTCTCAATGGTTTACAATTGGAATATATGGCTACAGGTGTGGGTGTGGGAGCTCACCTTCTTATCACACCCACACCCACACCCTTTCAAGAAGAATTTATCAGAGGAAAACCCTAGTGAACCGTAGAAATAATATTTCAGATCTTCTTAGCAACAAAAAGTGAGAGAAATATATGATTAACAAGTTAATCTTATGTATTTAAACTCTTCCTAAAAAATGATTTACTTCGTCACACTTTATACTTATTGACTCAGATCGTTTACAGTTACGATACATCTATGATTAATTCTTCGAATCATCAAAACCCCTTTCATTGAATAATATTATCTTATTATTTGGAAAAAAATTTAAGAAGACATTGAAAAATTCTGATTGTCAGAGAAATGAAAAGTTAATAAGAACAAATCTCGTTAAAAGACATTCTCAAAACAATAGATTTAAATTGATAAATAATCGAAATTCTTGATTCATGAATTCGTCTAGTTTGGTGAATTTACTCACAAATCACTAATAGATGAAAATTTTTAATTTATCTCAAAAAGATGACTTAAATGATAATGCACTAATGACATTGCTGAATTTGTTTTATTTTTTTCAGTGTGATTGACCCATAATTCAATTTTATTTTTATGCATTATGTTTGACCCCGAATGACAGTATAAATTTATGAAAGAGAACATCACTTTTCCACTAACAAACAAGACGGATGATATTCACGCTTCATCTTTTTCAATGAGGTCATTCATACTTTTATCCATTCATGGAAATGTTTAGAAAAAATAATGCGAACATACATACATATAGACAGATACGTTCTCAGTCAGAAGCATACGTTATAATCACAATCAAACATGCTTCGATCTAATTTTCACCTTCTCGATCTACCTAATGAAATTTTGCTTATTATTTTGAAAAAACTTGATAATATTGATGTGCTTTATTCATTATCGGGTATTAATAATGAAAGACTTGACATTTTGGCGCAACAGAAGATTTTTACAAACATTCTGAATTTTGTACCTGCATTAACTGATGATGTTTATTCAATTCCTGCTTCAATACTTGATCGTTTTTGCTTCGATATATTGCCAAGAGTTCATTATAATGTCAAATGTCTCATACTTGACTCAGTACATATGACACGAATTCTTCTCGCTGCTGATTATCCTTGTCTCGGTCAACTAAAACTCTTCAATTTTAGCCAAGATATTGCCTTAAGCTATTTTACAGGTAAATGATTCATCTATTGAACTGATCAAGAATTAAAAAGCAAAAGTGGTGAAAAACAGTTACACTATTTGTGTTTTTGTTTAGATCAATCATCTTTTCAACATATTTTTCGACAGCAAATTACAGATCTTAGTCTTATATGTAATGAAGATACTAGCAAAACATCAGTGAAAAGTTACGCTAAAAATATCTATAGACATATTTTGACTTTATTCAAAAATTTAACGCATTTGAGTATTATTAAATTGGCAGGAGGTCAATATGAATGTCAACCTTTGTCACTTTCTAACTTGTCATTATCTAGTTTTTCTTCTTCAACTCTTACTAATTTATCTATCAGTCTGAATTCAATAGAAGATTGTCTTTCTCTGCTTGATGGTCGTCTCAAACAATTATCAACATTAATTATTATCGTTTATGGAACTCAGAATCATTCAATGCTTGA